ACAATGTGATCATGATTGTCCTTCTGAAGCGACCGTTTTTGTGGTTCTACCTGTGACAAATGGCCTGATGTCGCTCGTGACGCACTCTCCTCTCTGTTCTCCAAATTGACTAATCATAGCTTCCGGTCTGGCAAATACGTTGTATGTGGCGGGAGAACGCTCATAGAAACCCTTGAACTTTCAATAATTTAGCCAATGCAGTCAAGTGTGTGATTCTTTTTATTTTTCAAGCGCACAAAACGTGTTCGGTTTGCTCCTGTAATATCCTCTTACAGCTTCCTTTCCATCATTAAGCGATGTTTGGTTGCTAACTAAGCGATGGAAGTAGGTAGGGCGACATCCTGTGTTTTAGGCTTCCCGATATTATACCCTATTTCCTACTCATAATGCCAAACTGTGAGTGGGAATTAGTGTGTGTTGTTTTGTTTTTTGGTTAAGTAACTGCCATGGATCAATTACCATGGTTTCCACGGATGTAAACCAAGAATAATTTTATCAGTTTTCATTGTTGGCCCCATCTTCCAGTGTACTGAAGTGTAATCCCTCAAGTATGACGGTACAACAACAACACATTTTGGGAGCACGATACAAAGCAGTAATGTTCACTTTAAGTAACACACAATTCAGATGTATGCAACAGTATAAGTAGAAGAGTAGTTGTAGGTTTCAACAAAGCACTTCGACATCCCATTCAAAGGTGAGGGCGGAGATGAGACCCCGAGGCTATAAGGATTGTTTTACAAAGCTAATAATCCCTGTGTGGTGTCTCTTTATTGTCATCGCTGTCAGACCTCTGATCCCATAACATGTTCAATGAGGTCAAACTAAATCTGAACACAGACGGGCAGTGAGGTCACGCTAACTTGAGGCGTGTGCCTTCCTAAACATGATCTGCAGTTATGAAACTAGTGTGGAGCTGTTGCCCAAACTGACTGTCTGACTGCAGCTCTACTGCAGTTTTCAAATGTCCAATATATTCTTTCCATTTAAAGACATAAGCCTATGACAATTGTTGTATGCACACTTTTCAACACAAACTCTAACAAGGATATTGTTTAACCACAGGTGTAATTCTACGAAAAAGAGAGAAAGGATTTGATAGCTTGAAAACTCAGAGAGGATGTACTTCAAATTATTTTCCAATAACGAACAAAATACGACATTTTCTTTGGGCGGCTTGTGAGAAAAATTAATTCCATATTCTGCAAAATGTATTATCTGTAGGGAAAAAATATTGAAAATCAGACTGCATAGCATAAATGCTTTTGGTGTGTTTTTGATAATCATTTGATGTCTGTGTCTCTGCTTTGTGAGACCATTATTCTGTGCTTTCACTTTGGTGAGCTTCAGATTGTAGATAAGCGGGGGGAGTGCATCTGACGAAGAGATAGGTTGTTGTGCTCCCTATCTCTGTTTCTTATCTATATCTAATAGAAGTGCTCGGGTCTTGATAGATTGAGTGGGGAAGTTCATGAGATCTTTCTAGAGGGTTATCAAGAATAACTTTTATCCAATGACCTTTTTCCCTCTCTGTCTGTGTCTGTGTATTCTCTTGTTCCGATTAACCCAGCCAAATCTTTTTTTCTTGTCTTGTATCTATATCTACGCCGGGATCCGGAGTTGAGGCTGATCCTCTTGCTGTAGTCCTGTGTCTTGGATCCTCTATCCTGAGTTCTGGATTAAGTCGTGGACTTCGGGTCGTGGCTGAACCTGTCTCTGCGGTCCTGCCTTGGGTCTCGTCTTGCTGCTTCCCTGATGGCTTTCCACAGGATTGTAGCTGACATCCTCGTGGATTCATCTTCTTATTACAGACACATGCATTTCCTAACATTCGGTCTATATGCTGTAAAATGTATTATCTCTTGGATTTACACACGGCATCTATTGCACGTCTGTCCGTCCTGGGAGAGGGATCCCTCCTCTGTTGCTCTCCCTGAGGTTTCTCCCATGTTCCCCTTAAACTGTGGGTTTTCTCTGGAAGTGTTTCCTTGTACGATGTGAGGGTCTAAGGACTAGAGGGTGTCGTTTTTCTCATACTGATATTCTGAACAATCTGTGCTGTTGTATTTGCTGTAAAGTGTCTCTACTGTAGGCTATTTTTATTATATGTACAGCACTTTAGCTCGAACAAAAATCATTTATAAATGTGCTATATAAATAAAACTTGATTTGATTTTGATTTGATTTACACTCTCTCAGCATGGAATTTGCCACTAATCAATCCATAAGTTGAGTAACATTTATTTAATAATGTTTCATAAAACCAAGTTGTATAGTGCCTTGATTATTTAAATAGGCAGCTCAACGGACCTATGATATATTTTAAGTTGCAGTTTAAGGTAAAAAATAACAATCCTAATTGGATGATGGGGTGTCATACACCGACCCGCAGGTCCTTAAACTTCAGAAATTGTAATCCAGGCCAACTCTCTTGACCCAACCCTGAGTCCATTAAATAACGCATTGCTGTGCAGAAAGGCACTCAGCTAACAATGCTATCCGTAAGCTTCATGAAGTCAGCATTTTAACATCAATAAAGATATGGATCCGCTTCACCAGTGACGTAAACATTTTGTTTTTAGAAACCATCAGCATCAGACACCACTGATGTGTGTTTCCTGCCTGTGTGACGCCATGGCAATCTGTTCATCATAAAGATCAGCTGGATATCTATAGGTCAATGACTTCAGGATTGGATATTGATTCCTGTGCCTCAAGAAGCAGCTTCTGTAAGAGCAAAAACAGGCCAGTGAGCAATGAATGTTGGAGTGATATTTGCTCTCCTCCCTGCAGAGCAGATATCACAGTTCACAATTAGACTCAGCTCTCACATGGACTCACAGAAATCCCCAAAACACAGACCAAGATTTATCGTACAAAACACAAACACGGATCTTATATAGAAACCATTTATCCCTGCATCTATTTTAATAACCTTCTAATACTTAAAGCCTGGTTCTCTTTGGAATCAGACTCGTGCTGGAACCTATTTATTATTAGGTGAATCACTTGTCAAAGCTGTAAACCCATACTTATTACTTCCAAATCCACTCAAACTAAGGTTGTTGATATTGTGTCGTCCCTGGTTCATTCAAAACCAAGCCAGGTGGCAAAAAGAGGCTAAACACGTTTTAATTCATTTGAATGCTGTTGATGTATTGTGATTTTAAAGGGTGTCCATTATCATCTGGCCGGGGACAACAGCTGGAAATTAGCAATGTTGGCTAAAAGCTGCCCCCATTTACTGTTTTGTTGTGACAGTTGATCAATGGGGACTGTCACTGACACAATAAACAAATAAACTAAACTAATAATCCTTGATCCAAATTCTCACTTAATTAGAAGGAAAGCACAAGACTGAAAAGCAGCCAAACGTTTTGGCAGACAGTGAGCAAAAGTCTCCCTTAACCATCAAATCTAAAAGCCTTAGATACAAAAGAAAACGCTTCAAAAGCAGAGAAAGGGTGACCCCCCTGTTGTGTGTTCGAGCACTGCAGCTCTGCGGTTTTATAATGTTTGCTCTAGATCCTCTGTCTGCCCTTTCAGCAAATCCTGATCATGTATGAGTCACAGCTCCCAGAAGTCTCTCTGAAACTGACTTTGATCATCCTTATACAACAGGAATAAAGCAGTGAATTTCACATTATCTAATCTGACCCACTACACAAAGTTGTTGTTTGTTCCCTCTTATTGCTTGTGTTTTGTTTTTGTGCAGTAATAAATATACATGGATGTATTTCTAACTTAGGTGCAGTGGAAACAAGCTGTACACCAGTGGTTCTCAAACTTTTTCCTGTCAGGCCCCCCCCTTTGGAGAAAAAAAAAAGTCGAGGGCCCCCCCCCAACACCAATTAGTCATGCTCAGTGGCGGCGCCGAGATTTCGTTTGTGGGGATTGCTGTGGGGTTAGCTTCACGTTTCATTAGAGGGTGCGCTCAAACATGTAGGGTTTCCCATTAATATACGGGCGCTACAGTGGAATTTTCTACTGCAACAATCCCCACGCATATACACAGGTACCCGCGACGTTACAATGAAGGCTCGATAATCAGCTCACGGCATATAGGTGTAAGCAGGGGTAAAGTGCTATTTATAGGTGGTGTGTGGACCTCACATAGGGGGGTCCGGGGGCATGCTCCCCCGGGAAGATTTATTTTTAAATATTGAAGTTAAAAGCATCAATCTGGTGCACTTTGAGAGCAAAATTAAGAGATCTATGGATCCACTGAGATAACACTGAGAGAGTTCTTTAGTTCACTGAGCCTCTCAGTCTGACAGGAGAGGACTCTCCTCCACTTTGTTGTTGAAAAAACTCCTTATATCCGTTAGCGTAGCTCGCTAGCACCAGAAGCTAACAACAACGATCTCCAGTACCGGTGCGCTCTCTCTCTCTCTCTCTCTCTCTCGCGCACACAAATGGCTCGTTCCACACAAGCACGCACTTTATTTTTTTATAACCATTTTTCCTCCTGGTCTCTCGCCCCCCCCCCTCCCCCCCCCCCCCCCGGCATGCCTCTGCGCCCCCCACTTTGAGAACCACTGCTGTACACACAACATTGACAAATTACCAGCTTTTGAGGTCCTCATATTCATTACTGTTCAGCTCTGCCACTTTAAATTCTGATGTACCTTCACATCTTAATTGTCATTTTCATATTGTAATTACTTTTGTGTATGTTTATATATTTTTTATTTGTATTATTTTTGTAATAGGCTAATTCTGTATTTCTTCCTTTTCGTGTAAAACTGAAATCCTCTTAATCAAAAACGCAGAAGCAAAATCCTTGTATGTGTACACCTACTTGCCAATAAACTGGATTCTGATTCTTTACCAAATGTAGAAATGTGTTAAGTGATCCATGATATATAATTGCAGTCTTTAAACCAAAATTAAACAAAAGCGATATTTCCCACAAATGAATTATAAATCCTCTCACCTCCACCTGTTGACACCGACGTTGGACGAGCCTGCAAACCAAGGGTCCAGGAAGTAGACACAGCGCACAGTGCCGGCTCCTTTGACCGCCTGCAGCAGGGCCGGGTTGTCATGGAGACGCAGGCCTTTACGGAACCAGTGGATGGAATTTGGGGCCATTTTGTTCTGAAAAGAGTAAAAGAAGAAGAAGAAGAATGAGCAACTAAATGGTGCTTAATTTTTGGAGCTGAATGAAGACGTCATGTACAGAACAGAAAAATATGCACTTTGCTACTTTCTCTTTTCTTTCTTTTTACAGTTTTCTCAGTACAAAACAAAATGTCCACAAACATAACTGACACATTCAAGTTTTATCAGTTGCCAACACTGTTAGACGTTCCAAGAATACACAATGTGAGCAATACATCGCTAAAGCCAAATCATTTAATGCCGTCTAATTATTGTTTATTGTTTAAAACTCACAATTGAGTGACCTTTAACAATTACGACAGATTAGGATTTTATGACATACACTTTGTTGTTGCTTTATTGTTGCAAAAGATTAGATAATAATAATTATGGTTGAGCTGTAAATCAAAAGACTACTGATGGGTTTGCGTGCCAATAATTATTTTCAGGAACTATAATTATGATGCCGGAGGACATTTTCCTAGATATTTCTCTCTGTACTTATTATTGAAGCTGTTCATTTTAACATGCATCCTATGTGAGATAAAGTTACTAGATTACTAAATAGATTGGCTCATGATTAGAGAAGCATAACTGGACCGCAGTCCTGAACATCAGCAGATACTGAGGCATTAAAAACATTGAAGTCTTAATAATTTACCAGCAGCACAAGTGACACTTTTAAATGAATTGCCACTTCAAGACTTATAAAGGCAGGCTTTCTTCACTTCATAGATTAAACGGCAGTCAATAACAACAAGCGTATGATGTACAGGACAGGACCCCATTTTAAAATCAGCTGCACCATTACAATAAATGTAAATACTGTCGGATGCATTACTTTTTGATTTTCCAAAGGAATAATAAAACAGATTTTTGGCTTCACATAATGAGTTTGTGCTAGCTGTTGAATTGACGTGAAATAATGCCACCAGAAGATGACACCAAGAAGCTAAATTGAGAGGTCGTCACACCATTGTGAAGTGAAAACTAGGCCACACTTGTGAATCAAGAGTGATGATAGGCAGGGTCTTTCCCAAGCAAGTGCAAGCACTACTGGTAAAGGAGATCACAGACACATGGACATTAGTCATTTACATGATTGGTTTAAAAAAGTTACAGGTCTAGGTCTAGCATCAGCGGAGACAGAGACTTGCAGGAGTTGAATAAAGTGTTGCTGTGTGTTCTCAAAAATATTCCCTCAGTTGATATGGTTCCTGGGCATCTTGTACATGTTGTATTTACCTTTTAGATCACAATAATTTGTCATGAATAGGCGACAAGTAATCGTCACATTCTCAGCCACGTTGAGAATTTTTTCAGGTTGACAGCTAGAATTTGCCATTTTTTCTGTACAGTACACATGACAGCTGGTGACTGTTAGGGCGCCTCTGTGACAATACAACATTTGTCATCAGTGTTGAAAACAGTCATGTCTTGTCAGTAAATTCATTTTTTTCCCTTCACAAATACCATGTAAAAACCACACAAAACCCTTAACACTGACCTAATTTTATATAACTTAAAATATTTAGGGGATGAAAAAGGGACAGGGTGTGGATGGGACACGAGCTGAGAGTGACTTGAGCATTTCAAATATTGCATTGCATAAGAAAGATGCAAACATGAGTAATCAATATCCAAATAAATGTTTCTATTGCTTGATATTTGAAATATACAAATGTTTTAAGGTCAGTGTCAAAGTGATGGTTTGTATGACTTCTGCAAAGAAAATTAGGTCAAACTGTTTATTCTGAATGAATTGAATCGACCTCATAGGCTAGACATTATGGCATCTCCCATAATTAATACAAAATAACAGTGCAAATAAGGAGCTGCTCTCAAAATGTCATTAAGGACTGTAAATAGGTCTTCAAAAATATACTTTAAGTTCAAGTGCATGGTAAGGAAGCATCATCTCTGTAGAATAAATCGGGGTCACCAGAAAGCATCCTTATGTAAGCGCTGGTGCTGGTTATACCAGCCGGTTTCCTTAACACTCAAACCCCACATATGCAAAAAGACCCTTCTTACCTCCTTGTTGTTTATATTTATTTCAATTCCAAAGAAATACGCATCTCTTCCCAGTGTTACGATGTACGGGGTAGTGCAGAGAGCCTAGAAGAACTCTGTGAATGTTGTCTTCTGCTGTTGCTGCTGCGCTAGTTTCATCAGAGTTAGGCTCACTGCGCATTGCGCCAGCCGAATCTCATTTTGCTTTCAAGCAAGCCCCCAGGAAGTGCGCCGGACTCGGGCAGCATCTCAGGGGTGCGTCCAGGGCCGTCCTGGCCAACTTGGGGCCCCAAGCGTCATTGTGAGATGAGCCACCCCCCCCCCCCCCAACCGACAGGAGTGAACACATTTTTGTTGGGAAACAAACAGGGCCATGGGAAGGGTGCTGAAGCACCCCCTGGTGGAGGACAGGGGATCTGCACTTCCACAAGACGAAATACAAATATAACACAAAAAAACGAATTTTCAGCCTTGATGTAACAACATTCATAATTAAGTAAAAATAACTCCCCTTTCAACCCGGTTACATTTTCCATTTGCCCCTGTTACGATGGGCGCTGTTAAGTGATGAAAGTGGGGGATGTTGGCTTATCGTCAGGCGCCCGCAGCTCACAGCCTGAGAGCAGAGAGAGAGAGAGGAGGGGGGGGGTGCACCCGGTACATGCGGGGGATTGTTGTTAGCGTTCTGCTGGCTGCTAACCGGTCCGGATATAAGAAGCTGGTGTCCTCCCAATATGTGGTGGAGGGAGAGTTCTGTCCCTGTCAGACTGAGAGGCTCAGTGCACGGTAGGGGTAAAGGACTCTGCAGGGTTAGGTGTAGTGTTAGGGTTCAGATAGTTCATCTTGTAGTCTAAGTTATGTCGTGAAGTCTCAAACGTTCTTTTGATCACAATTTATGTAAACAAATATTTCCAAGGCACTCCTTATAATTATTATGGATAAATAAAAAACAGGTTTGAAAATCATTCCAATCTATAGCCTATACTATAGGACAGTAAACCAAAAATATCGTTTAAAACTGGAGCGATTAAAAATGTGCATTACTAAATAAATGTTAACTGGTAAAAGAAGATATAAATGAACCACAAAATAAAATAAGCTAGCCTACATTTATTCGTTATTGGCTATGGAAGGTTATTGGAAATTGTTCACATACTTATTTGATTAATAAAATGCAAACCGATCTTTTTCATATGGGTTGTTTAGAGTTGTACCCCCTAGATCAGTCTCTAATTGGGCACTCAAAGTGCACCAGATTGAAGCATTTTACTTTAAAATGTTAAAATAAATCTTCCCGGGACCCCCCGGACTCGGACCCCCCTAGAGGATGTGACGTCCACCCCCCAATTTAAAACATGTTAAATCCTTAAGCTGTCCACCATGTCAATACGTTTCTCTGTTTGTAGTGTATTGGTCTTTTGTAGAGGTTTTTCATTGCCAGCTAAAATATTGCCTAGGGGCAGCAAATTGGTCAGAACCGGCCCTGGTGTCATCCCCACAGCACCCCCCATTTGAAACATGTTCCCACGGCCAAGGAAACAAAGTACTTTGCAAATATAATTCCTGTTTATTATTATTATTATTATTATTATTATCAACACAGTTACTTTTTTATACAGTGAGGTAAATGGTAAATGTGCATGCATGTCGTTCAATATGCTTTTACAGGTGAATACGTCTGCATTTCCTGCCAAATACTAGCCTCAAAAAGATTAAAATATAATTAATGCAAATAAACTACTTGATTAATAATCATTATCAATTAAATAATGTAAATACTATATTATTTTATTATAATATAGTTGTATAGTTGTACATGCTTATTACGCTCAAAAACTGATATTTCTTCAATCTGGGGGGTGCGCTTTGAGAACTGCGCTGAGAGACTGCGCTGAGAACTGCGCACAGCCGAGCTCATAAGCAGAGGCCCCCTGCGTGAGGCCCACTGCGCGAGGCCCCCTGCGCAATGTGAGGCCCCATGCAAGCCTTGCATGATCGGCCTGCTAGGGAGGGATGGCCCTGGCGTGCGTCTCACTTTTTTTTCATTTCCTCCTCCTCGCTGATTTGTCTGCGCATCTTGAGTGCGTGGCAATAGGTTAGGTTGTAATGGCACTCTTCTTTGTCACATGGGGCAAATCCCACGACAGTCCAAGGGAAGAAATAACATAATCAGTTTGAATCGGTAGATGTTGGCCTCTCTATCTTGTTGCCAGTCAGTGTTTTATCGGCTTCATCTCTTCAGAGGTTATTATACTTGTGTCTGCAGGTGTGGCTGCTTGTATTCACCATCCAACTCACAAGTAAATGTTGTTCGGGACCACAGCCCCCCCCCCCCCCCTCAGTTTTTCTACAACATTGTCCTCATTGTGTGCTGCGATGCTAACTCACTTCAGTGCCAGAAGTCCTGTCAAGAGTTTCTGCCTTGGAGAGGGATTTTGTACACTGCGATACAACTCATTCTAATGCACTGCAGCCATATTTTCCATAACACCTGTAAGCATGCGTGCTGACGACCATCATGCTCTTATCAGTCACAACCCAGCGGCAAACTGTGGAGACTGTGTGGGAGACAAACTGTGCAGCAAGGAGGCGGATCGTATAGGGGGCGGATCGTATAGGGGGCGGATCGTATAGGGGCGGATCGTATAGGGGCGTTTCCTAACTTTTTTTATCCAATAGAATGAGATGGGTCTGGCTGCAGACCAATAGAGTCTGTCTGCAGACCGCAGCAAGGAGGCGTATCGTATAGGGGCGTATCGTATAGGGGTGTATCGTATAGGGGCGGATCATATAGGGGTGTTTCCTAACTTTTTGTATCCAATAGAATAATGACACTCAGCAGAAATACATACTGTAGGTGGCAGTAATGCAACTTAAGGATTCCAGCTGCTTTTATAAATCCTCGCAGAAGAAGTCATTCGTTCTTTCACTATGGCCGAACAAAAAGTTGAAAACAGCGGTAATAGTATTTTCCAGAGATGCATGTTTATATTTATTGTAATGTCATTTTTCTTAACAAACAATTGTCTCGTTATCAAAGTACAACATCGACTGTCCAACCTCGTTAAGCGTTAATAAAGTAAAATAATAGACAGTTTGAAACGCGAGGGCCGTGGCCGGCACGGGGTCTGCTCTCGCTCAAGGGAAAACCTCCAGCGTGACTTGAGACCGCCCCCTTGATAAATAAATGTAATTATAATGAAGCCAGCTGCAATGGATCATTGATCCACCAGGGGGTGCAGTGGGGTTCCACACTGGAGCTCATGTGAAATAAACTGATACAGTACGGTAGATTTATGTCTGGTAGGCTACTACTGTATAGCGGATCTTTGTTAAGATCCATATGTCAACGGATAGGATCATACTCCGTGCTAAATAAGAGATGTAAAGGCAACCGAACAACACATATTTGCCAGTGAGGGATATGGTGTGAAGCTTTTCCAGACGCGTGGTGTTGACAGCAAATCAGGTCTTCTCTTTGAATGCATTTAAGATGTTTATTTGGATTGCAGGATGATGACAGCAAAACAATAGCCGGGTGTTTAACTGATAACTAAACAACTAACTGTGATAAAGAAATTAACTCAAAACAAACAGAAAATAAGCGAAAACACGCACGGTTGAAAAACTGTGTGGCTTCCCCTCTGGTGATTCCCATCCCTAATGCTGTGCACCTGTGTCCTCCCCAAATAGTAGGCTGTACCTGAAATTGGGCTGAGTCCCCGCCTATGCCCAGGTCAATTCAGTAGTATCACAGCACTTCATATACAAATATTAAAATACATCAAATTGGCTGCAACACACCGGCTCCTAATTGTTACTGTATAATAACACAACCATCAACAACATACAAAACATTGCAGCCAAATAGAATAGTCCATATCAGTATTCTCAATCCATAATGTTCATTGTTCATGTAGATAATCCAATAGGGTTGGTAACCCCAATAATATAAATTGGGTTTCAGTCTTTATTCAGCTTCCAATAGAAGACAGATCTTCGTGATTGGTCGCTCCAGGATGTTGTACTTCGTCCGGACTTTAAACCGACCGCACAAGTCCTTGTCTGTCGGGAAAGGTCTGCAGTACCTTGCCCAACAGCCAGATCCGCGAGGGGCATCAGAGTCCGCTACGATGACAATGTCTCCTGTGACAAAGTTCCTCTTGTCCTTTGGCCTCCGTTGTCTCTCTTGCAACAGTGGTACATACTCCTGAATCCATCTGTGCCAAAAGAGATTGGCAAGGAATTGAACTTGCCTCCATCGTCGTTTGGAGTAGGAGTCATTTTTGTCAAAAAGCCCGGGTGGTAGAGAAGGTTTGCCTTTTAACAAGAGAATGTGATTTGAAGTCAGGGGTTCGAGATCATTTGGATCCTCTGAGGTTTTTGTAATGGGACGGTCATTCAAAATGGCTTCCACTTCGCACAGGAGTGTTTGTAGTCCTTCATCATCCAAATGTTGCTGATGAAGAATAGAGTTCAGCACTTTCCTGACCATGCGAATGACTCTTTCCCATACTCCTCCATGATGGGATGCGGCTGGAGTGTTGAAACTCCATTTCACTCCAGAATGAAGCAGTGAGTTTTTGAATTTTCTGATGGTTCAAATGAGATAGAGCTTCTCTCAGCTCACGTTCTGCTCCAACAAAGTTGGTTCCGTTGTCTGATTTGATGTGTGATACTTGGCCTCGCCTGGAAATGAATCTGCGTATTGCAATTTATGCAAGAATTGGTGTCCAATGAATAGGCCATTTCCAGATGGACTGCCCGACTGGCCATGCAGGGTGAAGATACCCATAGTGTTTGATGAGGCTGCGGCCTCTCTTCACTTCAAACAGCCCAAAATAGTCAATGCCCACATTTGTGAATGGTGGAAGATCAGATTGCAGTCTTTCTTTGGCAAATCTGCCATCTTTTGTTCACCCAGCTTCCCCTATATCGTCTGCAGACAACACAGGAAGAGAGGATCTTTCTAGCAGCAGCATTTGCTCTGGTGATCCAGTCAATCAATCAATCATCAATGTTTATTTATATAGCCCAATATCACAAATGTTACATTTGTCTCAGTGGACTTTACAGTTTGTACAAAATATCAGTATGACAATATGACACCCTCTGTTCTTAGACCCTCACAATCGTAACCAAGGAAAAACTTCCAAAGAA